TGTATTTTACGCAATGTGTAAATGTCACTGCTTTCATGGCACAGCCTTTGTTTCTGTTTTACATTACAGTAGCAAAAAAAAAAAAAATATATGAAACAGCATTCAATAAACAGAGGCTTCCCCCTGGGAATGCTTTTACTTTGAAGGCAAAATCGCCCAATTTCCTGCCAGATTCTGCCTTTTACTGTGTTGAAAGCTGAGGGGGTTCCTCTCAATAGAAAATTCACCCATCAGCCCCCTCTTCTGGAGTCAAACAGCGTCAATTGGATGTTGTGTCAGGTCTGTGGCACCACCTACATTTACCACACAAAGAGGAAATGTTAAGAATAAATAGCCACAACACAGGGTATAGAAAAGGCATTCAGGGGATGTAGCTAATTCTGTGATGCACCACCGGTCTGTGTGGGAGAGACAGCATCAGCCAATTTCTCCACCATGCCAAACTCATTCCTCACCTACAGGGAGATTCAGTCAAATAGGGTGTGCAGGGCTGTAGCTAAGACACCTGAGGGCATGTTCTCAATATGTGACTTTACAGGTTATAACAACCCACAAATTACATACAGATTACATATGCTGAGGTTGGAAGGCTGATGGTTATATTTTTAGACTATCTCAAATAATTTAATTATATTTAATAAAGGGATTTCCTTAGGATAAAATCCTTGCAGCATGAAGAAAGCTTTTGAAAAATCCTATATGGAGATTACATTTACAGAAAGTATAACTGAATTTAAAAAAAAATCATATTGTATAAGCAATTAAAATATTTAGAAAATGTACAAGTTTTACATAGTTGCCAGTCAAAAACACCTTTGGGAAATGAGGTGGTGCCGAAGGGGTTTGAATTTTTGACCTCAGTGTTTCTAGAAGTCCTGGCTCAGGGGCCCACAGGCAAATTTCTGTTCCTCCGACATTATGTGCATTTTGTGTGCATCCAGTTGCCTTTAGTATCAACAACACACAACAGACACATGGACGCTGCAGTATATTTCACCCAGAGACCCAGAAACAAACTGACTACAGTACTGGAGAGTGAACTGGCCCCAGGTTTGCTGTGTCTCAGTTTGTGGTTATTTTTATCAAACTCAGATTCTATAAATGTATGCATTCTGCAGCCTTCATATATATATCAACAGTAATACTGATCATTTAGGTGATTCTCAATTTAAAAAAGGGTATTAAAATTAGATCTTGACACAGCATCCCACTGCAAGACAGGGTCTCAAATTGGATAAAAATCAAGGAACCACTTTTGGGCCCTCAACAATAGGTGGTATTTTAATTATTAACACTTATAATGTGTCTCACTGGCAACAAAGGACCCCTGGGGCCCCTTTGGGGAAGTGCTGCAATGCTTATTCAAGGACCTCTTGCCTCGGGGCAGTTGTCTACTTTGACCATTTGGTAATCCAGCCTTGGGGATGTGAAGCATTTTAAATATAAATGTAGAACTAAATAATAAAAAAAACAAAAAAACAATCAGACATTCCTTTTTGGTCACTGTTACAGTATGATGCTCTGAAATATCAGTTATTGTGGTCATAATGACGGCTGTTGGTATTGTCAAAAATATCAATTTAGATATCAATTTTGGATATTTAACAGAGATTCAATTCTTGTTTTCTGCAGTATTGATACACCAGCTACACTTCCTCGCTCTCTTACTGTTAATATGTACTACAGTCATTCCGCTGTTCTCCAATACTAACCATGAAAAGAAAACTAGTTGTTGTCATATATATTACATTTGTCTTCCAATAAGAATTTATGTATGCATTCAATGCAATTTATTCCATGGTATCAAAAATGGTATTGAATATCAAAATTTTTCAAAGTACTGTATCAAAGTTAGAAATTCTCTCTTTCATGACAACACTAACGGCTGTGCCAATTAAAAGGAAATGTAGTCGTGTGTCTCTGCAAGGTAATGTTTTAACCTACGTCACAACATTTCCGAGAGATGTGACTCATGCAGTTTTAGGACCCTGAGCAGAATCTGAACCAAGGCCCTGGTTGAAATGGACACTGACAACAGTAAGTCACTCAAACTGCAAATTATCACCACAAAGTGTTTTTGCACTTCAATTAAAGTACTGAAAGAAATAAATTATAGCCTGATAAAATGTCAATATGCAGCTCAGCTCTGTTTTCCTCTAATGAAATCACATCAGTCTGTTGCCCAAACTGTTCCTGATATAAAAATGTTCAAAAAAGGAATAGAGAAATAAGTGAATTCTGGAAAGAAGTGAACAGAGGTCTTCACATGTGCACTGTTTATGTTTACTCAGGCATCCAGTCGTGATGGTACTGGCCGCCCTAAGCAGCTGCTTAATTAGCATATCCCTAAGGTCAGCTATGAGATTGACCAAGTAATAACCTTCTCAGTCATTGGTGATTATTCCTTAAGTGTGTCTATTTGATGAACATAAGCAGATGGTAGTTAGCTAGAGAATCAAAACATTGACAGAGAAAGAGAAGAAGACCCTGACCCACAAACCAAAAAGCATCAGTCTGACACTAAATTTGTTCTTTAAAAGAAAACAAAAAAAAGTAAAATCTGATGCAACAGAACCAGACATACTTTCGTTTTCATCCTACGCATTTCGCTGTCTTTTTACACAACTACTATGAGTTAGACTCCAGGCTATGTTAGCCGCTACTAACACAGCGTGGAGTCTCTAGCCTCCAGCAGAGATGAGTAGCTACAAAGGTGAGCTCAGTTCAGTCTTTCTCCACTTCCCCAATTTCTTTTCATATTTAAAACTGTAGTTTGACAACCCATTCTCACTCCCAACTCGCCAAATACTGCCGTTTCAGCGTCAGACGTCAGAAATGCCAGACACTCTGGGGATGGCTATATCTGACGCCAGTGGCATCTACCATAGTGTGGTGAGGAACATAGCCCTCATAGGGTGGGCAGGACGGGAGGTGGATGGGAAAAACACACTCTGGATTTTCACCCCTGTTTGTTTCAAAAGTAAAACAAAACGTCAATGGAGTTATTTTATGAACAACTTAGTGTGCTAGTATGTGTAGCATGCTGCACTGGCAATGTGTGTCACACAACGTATGTCACGTGATATGTTACATTAGTAAAAACCATACTTATTTTAAGCCAAACCATGATGTTTTTCTTTACACCTAACCACCATGTGCTTTTGTTTCACAAACAAATAAACGTAAAGGGGGCTTTACCAAAGTCGTAAGTTTATTTTGAAAAAGACTGTATGCATGTAACAATCAGAGACTGTACATTTCCTGTACAAAAAAAAAAAAAAAAAAAGAAAAGAATTTTGAAAAGACACAATGTATGTAAAAAGCGCCATTTGAGACGTCCAAAATCAACACAGGACGCTACCAAGGGCATCGTATGTTGATGTTTAGGTACACTTACAAAGCGCCTGTTGCTAATATTATGCAGAAGCACTGCTCAAGACGTACAAACAAGTTTTGAGGTGTAAGATTGATGGAGTTTTCCTGAACTACTACTAGTTTTCACCAGTGCTTAAAATGTTCCAAAAAAATTTGATTAGACAAACACTGTCAGTGCGTGCTTTTAACGTAAACCTGCAGCTGAGCTCATCGTATCTCCCCCACACTCAGGAGTGCTCTCTTTAAGACTTTTTTTTACTTTAATCCCTCCTCTGTATACCACGTTTGTTGTTTATCTGAAGCGTCTTCTCCAAAAACTTTCTTGGACGCCATATAGCTTTCGTCATACTCCTAGCTGCTGCTCCTAACAATGGTCTCTTCACCTGCCCTTTTTTTTTTTCTTTTTTCTTTTTAAATCTTCATTTCAAACTGTCAGCACACATCGTATCAGAGGAAAACATCAGAAGCTCACACAAACAAATGATTCACTGGAAAATAACGTAAACAAACAGAAAAAGACAATAGAAACAAACAAAAAAAAATGTATTGTAAAATAAATTCATCTCTCCTCCTAAACACATCACTTCCAGTGCACCTGCACAGCAAAGTCGCCACAGACACCCAACACCAAAACTCTGGTGTTCTGAGAAACACAGAGAGCTTTCCCTGGCAGTGACAGGCTATCTCTGCATTGTGTGAACTTGTTTGGCAGCAGTGTGAATGTAACAGGCGTTCAGTTATATGTAAAAGTCTCACACACCAGCTTTATATCCACTGCTGTTACAGTTGTCCTCACTGTGCGTCAGAATATTGTCTTATATCTTCTGTAGGTTAACACTTTTTACTTACTTGTTTTTACTTGAAATATTATCTTGATATTTATTGGAATAATATATTATTTACTTTATGAACAATCCTTACGTTTATAAAAATGTTTTCAGTATGGATCTGAGACTCTGGATCTCTCCTCCCCCTCTCCTTTTCTGAACTGCTCTTATTGATAAAAATCA